AATATATATTAAAAGCGGGTTATAAAAATGATTTTTAAATTACGTAAATTTTAAAAATTTTGTGGTGATATACAGCTTCGGCATAATTAATCAAACCCGGTTAGCGACAATTTCTTCTTTTTGATAATAATTCAAAAGAAGCCTGCTTTTCTTTAGTAGTTTCTTTTCATGACTGAAGCCAAAAAGTTAATAATTGCCATTTCTATATGATCACCATAATTTGAATTATTATTATTATTATTATTATATATAAACTTGATTACATGTCACTTGGGAAGTGTATATGCCTCCTCCACTTGACTCGACGCAGTTTATATGCATGGGTGATTGTCTTGAAAGTTTGTGTTAGGTCCCGTTTCAATTATTCAGGGAAGAAGAAACGATGAGTCGAAAGAGGAAATGAAGAGTCAAACATGAGCTAGATGATAGGAGTAGTCGGAAACTTAATATGAGGAGAGGAAACGAGGAGTCGGGCAATTAAATGAGGATGAACAAAAGTGAGTAGTCAGGAAGTTGAAGATGTGATTTTGCCTATAACACATCGCAGTTGGCTTGCTTGTGGAGTCGAACAGCAAAACTCTATCTCATGCCATCAAGCTGAAAGAGAAGAGGAGGTAGTTGACTTGCCACACTAGGTCGAGAAGAGCTAGTGATGTTGTGTTCACTATCATTTAGGGCCTTTGCTTAGTAGACTACGAGAAATCTTGGGGAAGAGGGGTGGCAGTGTGGTAAGTTGAGACGTGTGATAAGGAGGACGATGTGAGAATTAGGGCTGAGGCAATGTCTCTGTCGAGCGGAGGAGGCTTCTTCGATGACGAACAAAGGAGAGAAAGATCGAGAGCTCGTGCTAAATAGGCGCAATCATTTGGTTTCTTGTTCTTCAGCGAGAAATTGCCTTGGTGTTGAGGATGAGATGAGGGGAATCCCTCGTGCACTATTTGACATAAAGAGGGTTCATTTAAGTTATTTAATACACACACACAATATATATATATATATATATATATATATA